CCTGAGTATCATTTATTTTGAAAATGTAAGGAGCAATTTTTTCACCTTGTTCTTTCTTCAAAATACTTCTAATAGTATTATAATTCTTTGGTTCCATAGTAGACCTAATGTAAATGAGTTTCATGTTAACTATTTTTGTCTAGACAAATATCATGATCACATTACATTGTAATACAATTGTGATATTAAACAAATCCCCAAAATCCTTTGTAATACCAATGTTCACTTTGTCTGGTTTTGTTGCAGTATGCCCCATATATAAATTTATTTATTTATAAAAATCAGAATTACACATACAGTCAACCCCTCCAAGTGCGCCCTTTCCAAATGCATTCACTATGTAAACCCTCTCTAAATGCACGCCATGTCTCATTCCTAAACTTATATTGAGCATATAAAATTACCCCCTCTAAATGCACACCCTCTCTAAATGCACGTTCATGAGAAATGATGATATGTTTCCAAGGAGGGGTACACTTGAAGGGGGGGTTGACTGTATTTGTTTTTTTTTTCCTATATATTAAAAAAAGGTGGTGGTGGTGATTATTGATCTATTACTTGCTTTATTTAATAATAATGTAGAAATATTAATACTAATATTAATATTAATATACTAATACAATGCGATTAAATTTGAGATCCTTTTTTAAATGCGATTTGCCAATATTTGAGTCCAAATAAAAGGGATATTTACTAACACAGGTTTTATTAAAGTATAAATAACAATAAAATTTTGTTTACAACCAAACCTATTATAATATTCGCGTTACAACGAATTTATAATCTCGTTTAGACGCCAAAATTACCAAATGCTAATTGTGGTTCATATGATTCGTTTGGCTGTATCGTGATTGTTATTTCTTAGGTTTATAATAACAATAATTATATAAACACTAACATTAAGGCCTAACTGCTAATATATTAATTGTATGTGTATAGTTAAAACAAAATATAATTTCCGATTAAGTATTTGCCTCGTCCAACATGAACATTTTATGATAGAAGATAAATGAATATTTGGCCATTTTAGTATTATTAATAATAATATATACAATTTCAAATTATTTATTCACAGTTATAATTAAATTTTCTTACATGTCCAGCCCACTTTGTCGTAACAAGATTATACTGTAATTATATTAAAAAAAAAATAACATTATTGAAAATAAAAAATTTCTTAAAAAATTGAACACCTCATATTTCTAACCATTGATCGCTAGCTCTTGAGAAGAGAGAATGGGAGTTTTTTTACAATCAGTTGAAATTTGTGATACTTTAGAACAATCATCGCCTCTCAGAACTAAAAACAAATGTATTCTTGACTTCTTTGGTATTTCTTTTTGTATGTTTAAAGATTTGTAATGCGTTTGTTGTTAATCCAGCAAACAAATCTTTACGTTAAAAACATTAATAAACAACACTAAAGGAAGAGGAAGGATGTTCGCTTCACACATAACTACAATGTTTGAAATAAAATAAATAAAATAAAGTGATTCTACACAATGAAAATTTTATTTTTATTAGTGTTACTTATTGAAAAAAATACAAAATTTTTAATGATTAATAATCTAATTATATTAATATATATAAAATTAAAAATAAACAAAATTATTTAATTTAATTGTTTTGGTAGTATATAAAAATCGAAAATAATAAAATATAATAAAAATTATGATAAATTTAGATAAATTAATATAGTTGAGATCGATATTATGACCCATGTTGAAGAAATGAAACTATCAAAGAAACTGTTACTGCTGCTGATACCGGGGAATTTATTAGTCGACGAATCATTAGTAGTAGTAGGACTAGTAGCAGGATTAGTAGTCACAGCCGCATCAGTAAGCTTAGGACTAGGTGACTTAGGAGGGGCTTTAGCACTAGGTGTAGTCGTACTAACAGTTGGAACATCAATGCTAGTAGTAGGTGCCGCAAGATCAGTAGTTGTAGGTGCCGCAAGATCAGTAGTAGCAGGTGCATTAGCAGCAGTAGTCTTAGGATTAGGAGGAGGAGGATAAGGAGCATCAGTCTTGGGAGGAGGAGGAGGAACATTAGGATCTGCTTTACGACATGTCTTATCTGCCCCACATGTTTGATTTTCAGGACAGCAACCACCAAGAGGACAACAGATTTGGCCTGGTGCACAGCAACTAGTAGCACTACAACGTGGATAATTAGCTCCACACCCTCCGCTGCATTTTTGGTTAGGTAGACAGGTTGAGCCAGCGGGACAACATCCATCGCCATCTGGACACGGGTTATAACCTGGATCAGCGCAAGCGTTCTGCCTCTTCACCAAAAAGTACGATGAGTTTGCTACAGTTATTCTTTCATCCAATCTTGGAATAACAGGCATGCTGTCACTATGTAGTCCGTCTCTTTTCCATCCCGAGTCTGCCCTGATAGCAGCAAAATTGTTGAAAATTACGATGCTGAGAATAAGAAGTAATATAAATTTATTCTTCATGATGACTTTTAAAAGTGTTTGAATGAATGAATGTGTAAATATGGATTAGATGGAGTATGGATTAGATTAGATGGAGTATGGATTGGATTAGATGGAGTATGGATTAGGGGAGAGTTTTTTTTAATTTTTTTTTGAGAGAATCGAGTCAGACTGAAAGTTTTTATATTTATAATAAACCATTGGGATAATCGTTATCAATATTTTGATTAATGTTGTGTAAATTAATATTTAAATAATTCGGAGGGAATTCAAAAAATTCCTTTTATTCTTTGATTTCTTTCTTTCCTTAAAAAATTCAAATTTCAATGTTGATCTTTATTTACACGTTCTTGAAACTTGTCTGTATTACAAAATTTATTTTTTTTCTTCATTTTTTGTTAGAAGTTTTTTTTTTGGGACCTATCAAAAATCAATTCCACAATATATACATGTCCAAATTTGTCATCAGTGAAATTCAGTTGTCGGGTTTGCCGCGTGTAAGCATTATTATCCAATCAAATTTTGAATTTCTGAAGATAGTTTCCAATATTAACTTTGTACTAGTTACATCACGAAGTTTCTAAATAGAAATAATATATAAGAATTACCAAATTTATTTATTTGTAATTTGACGAAAAGATTAATAAGGATTTTTAAAATTTATCTAGTAATACGAATTTAGTCGCGCCACAAAATCACACAAGGATTTTAATTAAAAAAGACAATAGTTTTGGAAACAATTTTGCCAAAATGTTTCAATCAATTGATTAAAATTACTTTTTTCAAATGTGAAAAAGGGATTTTCAAAATAAAAAATAAACAATATAAAGAATCGATTGATTAGGTAATAACGCTATGCGCCGTAATTAAATTGATTTTCGAGGTACATTCGTTAACCAAATTTGGAAATTATTAATATAAATACATAACTATACGGTAATATTTTGTCAAAAATTATTTTTTGTAGATTTCATCAGACGATCATAATAATAATCATCTTTTTCAAGTGATTTAATTTGATTGGATAATGAAAAATTTGAATTTGTAAATACGTATTGATTTGCTACTAAAGGTATTATTTTTATATTTGTCTACAAACATAAAGATTCTCTAGAAAGGGAATCAGCCCAAAAAAAAAAACAAACATCTAATACTATATATCAAAATTGTGCCAGGAACAATCAAAAAATAGAAATACCATTTTTTTAATATAAATAGACAGAAATGAAAATAATTATTATTAAAATAAAATTCTTATCAGTAAAAAAAAGTTTGGCATTTTTTAAAATATTCCGGTAAAAATTTTTCTAGTTGGATAATAACAGAAATGACTCTCGTTCAGCTTGGTGATATGTATGTATATATCGCATAAGAATCTGATTGGACTATTTAAACATTCTTCAATCTTTGATAAAAGAATTATTTTCATTCCGCTCCGGTAGTATTTTTCCGGATATTATTTTCGAGCTCAATTTGACCTTAGAAAATTTGTTCATGCACGAAGGCAATGAGAATCGGGACATATGGAACTTCTGCATATTTATCCACATCTATTGGATTAATAAATGAATATGCTTGGTAGAATTTTTTTGTCTACCAAATTTTCTTTTAATTAGAAATTTCTGTGAGGTCTGGTCCAAAGCGTTATATTCATCATCTAATAAGGGAGTTTTTGGCGGATCAGGGATTTGCTCCGGTTCAGAATTCTGAGGCCTTGGTAGAGGATATTTTCATGTGGAAAACATGAATGAACTCTATTTGTATTTATGTGTTTAGCAAGATCCTGAATTTTTGGGTGAGTGTCCACACCACAATTTAGGAATCTACCTACCATTATTTATTGTATACATTATATAATTTTTAGTTTAAAATTAAATTTTTTTACGCCAGTCTTATAATGACTTATTCGGGTTGACGAAATACTTTGCAGGGCGGGGAATTATTTCGTCATGGAATATCAGTGTAATGATGTCACCAAAAAAATTATTTAGATTCCATGATAAAAAAGAATTGAGAATAATCACCATGGTAAATACCCAAAGTTACTCTACATATTGAATTGCTATATAAAATGCCATGTACAATACAATTAATGAAATTATTAAAACCCTAGGTTCTCAAAAAATGTACTTTGAGCATATGCGTCAATTTTGTTTGAACCTCAAAATTCAGTATGGTATGATCTAACGTAATCCATTAGTTTTGAGGTGGTGCCATTGGTTTGACGGGCTATTGAATAGTAAAAATAGTTTTTTTTTTGCGGAGCAAATAAATTTTTTAGAGTTAATTATCACCCTACTGTCCAGTTATACACACACAATAAGATATAAATGTAAGCTCATTAAGTCAAAAATTGTTTAAAATAAATAAATGACCGACCTATCGAGTTTACATGCGTGTGTAGGGTTTGAAAGAAGGGTCCAAAAAACAAATCGTCTGATGTGGTAATTACATATTTCCAGCAATTTTCCCATCACTATCCTTGTCTAAAATTGATGCATGATGTCAATGTATTGGCTGAAATGTTTGCACTATATAAAATCAATCAATATGTGTATAGGAATCAATCGTCGTCACGTCCACTAAAATTTATTTAGTGATCGGCAAATATCGCAAGTATCGTAAGTATCTGATTTGATTGGCTAAATCAATTTCGTCAAAAGGTCCTTGGCGATAAATATGAATTTCGTCATGTGCAAATCGTCAATTGACTAAATTCAGTAATTTTGTCAACCGTTCTTATTCGGGATCGTATTCTAGAAGCTTTACTCACATCGTACTGATACTCATTTTTTACAGATCTAATATCATCGTTGATCTTACTCAAAAAGGAAAATAATAATATTATATTTATATGCGTATATACGTGTTCAAAAAAAATTAGTTTATTTTGCATTTAAGGAAATTGTTTAAATGTGTTCGAATAATATTAAAAATTAGCATTGTACCGTTTTTTTATCTTTAGATTTTCAATAAACAATTATTATTATGAATTATCGTTTTTTTTTTTTAGTGGTGACTAAGTATCTTTACATTTTCAAAAAAAACATGTTGGCTTTTTTCTTTTTTTTTTATTTTTAGTAGCGACCAAGTATCTTTACATTTTCAAAGAGACATGTTTACTTTTTTTGACAATCAAGTATCTTTATATTCTCAAAAAAGAAATGTTGAATTTTTTCTTTGATATTAAAGAAAATATTCTGTTTTTTTTTTTGGTGGTAATTATGTATCTTTAGATTTTCAAAAAAAGACTTTTTGACAATAGAGAAATAAATTATTAATTATCCTGTGGCGATAAAGCATCTTTTACACAAAGGATTAATTTTCAACATTTCTGAAAAGTGTTGTTGTCTAAAAAAAATACTATATAACTATAGTAAACTACCTGATAATTCTGATGCCATTGGCAATATTGTACGACCAATTATGCATCTGAATTTGTTTTTATTAAAGATATGGATGTCTCTGCGCTTATGGTCAGTAGAAACCAACTGATAGAAAGTAGCTGATACAGTTTAGTTTAGCAAAATGGCTGATAATTCGCTTTCTGTATTTATTTTCAGAACATCATAATTATAATTTTTTGCTGTTCCGCATATCAAGATTTAAATCAATCGACCCAGACGAAAAAGCTCTATTGTATCTTCTCACCTAGATGATCATTAAATCAAGCATAAATAACCGGATATCATGTAATTTACTGTATTTTTTAGATTACATAAGTGGTTAGCTGACTATTTCGACAATGTATATCTATAATTGATTGGTTAATTTTTAACATAATTAATTATAACAATAGTAAATAAGATGTAAAATGGCGTAAAGAATTACAATTACCATTCATTACCCGCAGGTGCCAGTTCACTTCCATATTCCAATCAGAATCCATGATTTTTTAAAATTTTTACCTGATAAATAACTTGGTTTTAATCAAGAATCCGATAAATTAATATATCTATATTGTTTGACAATTTAATCTAACAATAATTTATTAAATGTAGTATACATACCAATTGAAAGTGATGTTTCAGAACTGAGTTTTCGTGATTGCAAAATGTAAATTACAAGAAAACTTTACACGCTGCCATATATCGGCTAGATACATTTTTTAAAGTTTAAAAATAAAAAAAAAAAAAGGACAAACAACCGCAATTTTAACTTAAAAGCTACTCATAAATTTTTTTGATCCACATATCAACAAAATGAAATCGTAACTTTCTAGAGAAAGATCTTTGCTTGGATTCAAAAAACCCGATTTATTTTTTGGTGTTACATTTACATTTTTAGATTTGGATTTACACGACCAATAGAAATAATTTTGATAATATATAAATGGAGGAACAGAATAATGTAAAGAAGGTTTTGTTTGTTTGTTCAGGAAACACATGTAGAAGGTAATTTTTTAATTAAGAATACATTATTTATTATAATCGTTATAATTAAATGACAGATATATTTAATTTTACAAAGTCCAATGGCTGAAGCTGTTTTCAAACATACAGTAAAACAAAAAGGATTAGAATCAAAATTTATAGTGGATAGTTGTGGAACTAACGTCTGGCGTGTTGGTATATATATATATATATATATATGTATACACATTATAATAGTCATTATCATTTATCAATTAACAAATAATTATCATCGATTATTTTAAAAGGTGAACCTCCTAATCCAAAAAGTGTTGAAGTTTGTAGAAAACATAATATAGATATTAATCATAGATCCAGAAAAATCTCAAAAGAAGATTTTGACAAGTTTGACTATGTTTTGTGTATGGATGATATGAATTTACTTGATGCAGAACGTCTTAAACCTGAAGCTTCAAAATTGATTGGTAATGCATTATATATATATATATATATATTTTTTGGATTGGATTTTGGGGCTGTTGATTTATCAATTAATATTTTATTCCCCCCAGTCAAATTTGGTGAGTATGATCCACAAGGTGAAAAAGTTATTAGAGGTAAACACTACTTTTTTTTAAAAAAAGTTTAAATCAATATGAAATGTAACGAAATAATAAAGTGCTTCATTATTCTTTTAATATAAATCAGATCCATATTTTGGCGATATTAAAGATTACGAAACAAGTTTTGGCCAGGTTACAAGATGCTCTGAGGGATTCTTGAAAAGTCTAGGTTTATGATAAAATATGCTATAATTTAGATTTATTATTTTGTTCTCGCAAATTCTTACAAAATTTATTAAGCTTAAATTCACTTAATAATAATAATAATAATAATAATCAATAAATGGTGGTAATATAAAATAATAACAATAATATAATAAAGTTGCAAGTAAATCAAGATTTTATTTTTGGTGGTGAAACATTTGTTATTGGTAATTTACAAATTTCCAAGAAAGCACACATAGTATAATGTGCATCATTACCTATTTGACAATAAAAATAATCCATAAATATAAATTAATATTTATATATATATATATACACATATGTGTGTAATTCAAACATTATTTACCTGCATTATGTAAACATAGTTTTCAATTTTCAAATCATCCAACATACCTCCCAAACTAGGATGTTGAAGACCTCGCACCATCTAATTCAGCAGTATCAAATACTTCTTTAGGTTTAATAACCTCGTCAATTTTAATTTTCATGCGTTCTAAATATTTCTTCTCCATTGCAATATCATGTCCAATCAATTGAATTCTTTGTTTTCTCGCAAAAATTCTTTTTGTGTAGCATCTTTAGTAAATTCTAATGCCATATTCTCGGAACTTCCCCGCATACTATCACCAAAAATAAAGCGATCTTTCATATCTGCCACATACTTGTTATTTCTAAGATGTATATAGCATTGTGTGGAATCATTTTACAACCATAGATGGAAAGGCAAGATGCAATTATTGCTCCAGGTAAAAATTTTTTACAATATTTATACTATATAAATAAATATAAAATAAAAAATATTTTTGTAAATAAAATTATAAAATATACATTAAAATAAAGATTTTTCATTTATTATATACAGTGTATTTGATTCAAATCATGGATTCAAATCAATTATTATTATAGATTCGAACCAGTCAGTTTGAATCAAACCAAATCAGTTCGAATCGAATCAATTCAAATTCGAATCCGTTCGAATCAAATCAACCCAAATTCGAATCCGTTCGAATTAGTGTTGGTTGCCAAAATTATTTTGAAGAGGTGAAAGTCAAAACTAGTTTCGACTTATGGCGAAACCTTTTGACTTCCGCACGGTTGCGAAACTCTAATTTTGGAAACCAACACTAGTTCGAATCAAAATATATATTCGAATCAGTTCGTATTCGAATTGAATCAAAGTACAATTCAGATTTGATTCGATTTCGATTTGAATGAAACGAATCAAAAATTAATTGGTTCGAATTTCGTTGATTCGTTCGGAGCCTTAATTCTCTATTAAAGCTAATATTAAATCTATTAAATTTATTAAAGCTATTGAATATAAAGTTATTGAAGATATTAAGTTATTAAGCTATGAAATTATTAAATTATTAAATTAAATAATAAATAAATATTAAATAAATGAACAAGTAAATAGTTTAAGTAAAAATACAACAATCTCGGAAAACTCTATGCAGCTTTGCTATTGTAAACTTAGAAAATCTGCTTCTTAATCATCTCCATGCTCAAACTTGATGGACTTGATGTGAAAGAACTAACAATATAACAAGCATACAAAGGGGTCTTGGACACTTTACCGATACCCACTTTACCGATAAGACACTTTACCGACAGGACACTTTACCGACAATTAAAGTAAAGTCGAACTTGACGTAGAAATGGTCTTGCGAGGAACACCACGACCCCTACAGATACCACAAGATCGTAATCGTGAAATATGGATTTAAATGACCGTAACATTAGATCAACTATAAAGTTTCTTCATAATATTTCATTTTAAAATTTTTTTTTGTTATTTTTTAAAAAATTTTTTTTGCGTATTAAAATAATAAAAAAAAAATATATATTACACATGTATATATCTATATTGTATTTTTATGAACTGGTTTTTGATGCAAAGTAAGGATAATAAGTGGTGTTATTAGTTAATTAACGGTTGATTTAACTTGTTGTATAAAACCAAACTTTTAGCTAGTTATCCAGGTCTTCATACAGTCCTTGGCAAATTGTTAACACAATACTTGTCGGTAAAGTGTTCTGTCGGTGAAGTGGGTGTCGATAAAGTGTCCGGGTCCGAAATTAAAATACATTAGTTACACACTATTACTATAAAAATGATCATCACTTTATATCACGTTTAGTGATAGTATCGAAAGTCCACTATGCTTGTTAGACTAGTGTTAGTAGTAATAATAATAATGTCATTAACTCGTTAGAGTTTTTGTCAAAATTATCAAATGACATTTCATGGTTACTTCATAATAGTGATGATTGTGATGTATTAATCCAAGTTGGTGAGGAACCGAATTCAAAAAGGTTTCCTTGTCATATTGCAATATTACGTGCAAGGTCTTCATATTTCCGTAGAACTTTATCAAAAGACTGGTCTAAGCGTGAACCTGATGGACTTGTCTATTTTTTAAACCAAATATTCAACCCGAAATGTTTGAAAAGCTATTAAGACAAGTAGCATTACTAATAAAAATTATGCTTAATGATTTATTTTTATTGTTTATTTTTATATCTATTGTGCGTCAATGAATTTTAGCGAAGAGGATGAAGAAACTTTAGTGAGACTATTAACATTAGGAGGTGAATTGATGTTGGATCAGTATTGTATTCAGATTCAACATTTTTTAATAGGGAACAAATATGAATAGTTGGAAGAAAATCTCGTTGAAACGTTACGTATCACAAACAATTGTAACTCGTGTACTTTTTTAAGGAATCATTGTTTAAAGTTAATAGCTGAAAAACCTGCTTCGATTTTTAGGTCTGAAGGGTTCATCTCGTTAGAAGAACTATTGGCTTCGTTGTTGAGACGAGATGACATTGGGATGGAGGAAATTGAAATTTGGAATTATATAATCAGATGGGGAATTGCCAATACGCTTGGTCTTGTCGCCATAGACATAAAAAATTGGACAGATGCAAATTATAGGGCGCTGAAAGAAACTCTATCTCAATGCATTCCATTGATTGGATATTTTTCTGTGCTTCATCGGATTATTATGAATCCCATTTAAGAATACACTTCCACCAGAATTAAATGATGATATTCTAAGGTATCCATTTGAAACCTGGTAGTATACCAAATTCTATAGCGTTGCCGCTAAGGGATCAAGGTATGAATTTAGACTCTTTGATCATCAAACCTTCTCACGCAAGAATTATATGCAATTGGATTAATGGTAGAGACATTGTTACTCCAACTTTTACCAAAAGTTGCATACGATTTTAGATTGTTAGTTAGAGGTTCGAACGATGGTTTCGATGCATCGACATTTCATGCCAGGTGTGATCGTAAAGAAGCAACGGTTGTTTTTATAAGGATTGAGAATAGTGGAGAGATGATCAGTGGGTATAATTCCGCATATTGGAGAACAAGTGCTATTTATATACAATCAGATAAAAGTTTTTTATTTTCATTGGGTGATGGAAAAAAATTACAAAATGCCATATTAAGTAGAATCAGAGATTCATCAAATGCAATGACGGTCATGCTTCCTACGGCCCACATTTTGGTACCAGTGATTTAAGAATGTATACACCGTTTAACAACAAAGAAAACTGTTCTTGTCAACCGGGTTCTTATTATAAACCCATCACCAAGAATGTTAGATTTTCTGCCAGAGAGTATCAAGTATTTCAACTTATCCCAAAATAAAAAATTCACAATTTTCTAAACATATCAATGATAGTAATTATAATAATGTATAATATTTTTTTTGCAAATCTGTTACAATTTAATTTTTAATAATGCATTTAGTTATAAATTTTAATTTTAGCAATAAAAATAATAATCAATTAATGATTATTCCAAATATTTGTTTTCTTTTAACCATTGTTTGACATCGTCAGCATCACGATTTACCCAAGCAGCATTGATTCTAATACTTTCCAAACTTTGCTGCAAAGGTCTAGCAAAATTTTTGCAATCTTTATCTTTGAAAAATGATTCGATATCCTTTATATCTTCTTCAGATGCAAAATGTGAGGTACAAAGTTTTATGACATTTCCAAAGAGAACAAATGATTTTGCATATCTTTGATGAATCTAAAAAAAAAATAATAGATATAAATATAAATGTAAAAATAAATATAAAATAAATGATAATAAATGATAGAAATACCAAGTCCCAATTCTTTTTAAAGAATTCCCATAACGCCCTTCGTGATTTACGATTTGCTCGCAATCTAAATTAATAAAACATTAAAATTTAAGAAACATTGTATATATAAAAAAACTAAATTAAAAATTAAAAAAAATCCTAACCCTGAAAACGAATGAACGATATCTTGTTCTTTAACTTCATCAGAAATAGCAAAGTCCAAGGCACGTTGAATCAACTCGGGTTGCCCTGCATGTCCAAGACTTACCAAAACGAGAATTTTTTGATCTGGGATTGTTGTTTTACGATAAATGTCAATTATGGCATTAAACTCTTCTTCGCCACCACCATATTTCAATACAATACTAAAAACTGCTCCACGTATATTTGGATGTATGGCTGATTCATCGTTATGTTTAGTCAATAAATCAAATCTTCGATGAGCTTCTTTAACAATTCTTTTTAAGAAATGGACATGTCCATTTATGTAAATCTTTCTATTTTTTTTTTTTTTTGGCAAGAAATATATATCTTTGTATTTATATTTATAAACAACGTAAATTAACTTACTCCGGACAACCAGACTTGCCAGCGTATTCAATTATAAAAGTACGAAACATAGTTGTTAAATAATCTTCATCTTCAGGAAATTCCCAAGTTACTGTATTAACTAATTTTGATATTAATTGACGTCTAAATGACAATAAAGCCTCATAAATCGAATCAGGTTGTTCGAACCAAGCATGAAGCAAATTCCAAATTCGAGCACTAATTTCACACCATACACTAAACATTATTAAATAAATAAAGTTTAAATTTTTAAATTTTTAAAATAGTAAAATAAAATAATTAATAAATGAAATCCTATACGAACATGTATTTATCTTCATTATCAAAGTCTTTCAAGAAGCTTAACAAACTGCTTGTTTTAATGTATCCGCTCATTGACAAGGCACCATTATCAGCTACCAATCCAATTCGATCACTGGTGCTAAGTAACCCGTTTTCAACAGCTTTACCCAATTTTTTTAAACGTTCAGGTGTATATGCAACACGATATACACCGGTTTCATTAGCATTTAATTGTAAAAATTCGGACATCGCTGATGGTAGGTCTATTGTAGCCTCTTTGGCTGTAAGAATCTTTGCTCTAAGATCAATATTTCCGGTAGAACCAAGATCAATACCAAGAGGTACCCACCAAATAGTAGTGTCATCTTCTGATGAAGCAACTCCTGTTGAAAGAAACCGAGTTTGACGTATATGTATTTTATTTGGAAGTGGTTCATCAACAAACAAAACCGGATACTTTTTTTAGATTTTGAAAAAAAATTTTAATAAAAATTAAATTTTCCGCACAAGCACGAAAAATTCTATTTGATTCAAATGAAAAAAATTTTCTGCATACACCAACTACTCTAGTCCATCCAGTCATGAATTTACCAACATCAATACCACTTTCTTCTGATAATGCTTTCCACAAATCATCAGTACTTGCATTACCGTATTCATGACTTTTCAAATATTTTCTAACTCCAGACAAGAAAATGTTTTCGCCTAAATGATCACTTAACATACGAATTACAGAGGCGCCTTTGTTATAACTGATTGCGTCAAATATTTGATGAATTTCACTAAATCAATGTAATTTACAGTGAAAAAAATAAATATTTTATTTAAATAAAATGACTTGAATTATTTATTTTTATGTATATATGTGTTACCTAGGATTATTGACAGGAACTTCAATAGGATGTGAAGATTTTAAAGAATCAAGCTGAAGACCACTTTGAAATCTTTCAGTTACAAATCTATTAGAAATAAATTTAATAAATTTAATTATAAATATATGAAAACAATAGATATAAGATATACAGGGAGAATAATTTACTGTGTCCAAATATCCCAATCAGGAAAGACTTTATCAATAGCAAAATATGCAACCCAAGTAGCAAACCCTTCATTAAGCCAAAGATGATCCCACCTAAAATTATTACCAATTCATACCAAGTTTTAGAATATATTATTATTATAAAAAAAAACTAAATAAATTTTAGCTACCATTCCATGGTTACAAGATTTCCGAACCACTTAAAATATTATATATATAAGATACACGGTATTGATAAAAATAAATAATTTGTAGAAGGGACAATAAATGTATACATCGTTGATTTACATGATAAAGAACTTTTTACCTGATGAGCTAATTCGTGAGAAACTGTATAACTAATTCGTCGTTTAAATTTTACATTAGATTTTTTTGGATCAAACAATATAGCAGTAGTACGGTATGTAATCAAACCCCAATTCTCCATAGCACCTAGAAAGCAGGAAATTTAATAATTTTAATAATGTTTTAAATAAGTATTTAATGAATTAATTAATCAGAACCTTACCAGCTTCAAAATCAGGAATAGCAACCATATCCAATTTTGGTAATGGATATGGGATACCAAACACTATACAAGTAATTAAATAAAAAGATGGTTATTAAGTAAAGATGATAATTGGGGTTTTTAGTGAGAAAAATACAAGCATATAAATATATATACCTTCAGCAAAATATTCTAAAACATCAACTGCAACATTTAATGCAAATTCACCATTTTTTTCATTGCCTCGAGTAGCATAAATTCTGATCTGAACAGGGTTTCCAGCATTCTTTACTCCATTAGTTTTTTTCTCGATATAAGCGAGATCGCCAACAATGAATGCAAGCAACTTTATATGAAAAATAACAATTATTATCAATATTAAAAATATTTTAATGATAAATTTCTATAAATAATTACATACATATGTGCTCATTATTGGAGTTTTAGCAAACACGACTTCTTTTTTACCATTAGCAAGAGGTTTTTCTGAAATAACGTTCATATTGCTCAAGGCAGTCAATTCTGAAGGAACAATTAATGTTATATCAAAAGTAGCCTTGATTGCTGGCTCATCCCAACAAGGGAAAGCATGACGAGCATAAGTTGCTTGAAATTGGGTAGTCGCCAAATATCTAAACAATTTCAAAAAAAATCAAGCAATAAGCATACAGATTCCATAATTCAATGACTATTATTTGAAAAAAAAACCTTTTATTTCCAGATTCATCAACATAACTAGAACGATAAAATCCGGTCATTTTGTCATTCAAAATACCAGTAAATTCAATATGCAAGGCAGCTTTTGTACCAGCAATAATTTCTTTTTGAAAAGTTAAAGTTACAGTATCCTTATCATAAAAGATATCAGTTGCTTCTTGACTAATAATATCAATATAATATTAATATATATTTATAGATCTACAATATTTTTATAAAAAGACATTGAAGATTCAATTAATTACCTGGAAATAGTTTTTAAAGATAAATTTTCAATCGTTGCAGATTTAATTTCAATTTCGTTAACATTTAAGATGATTTTATTGGTATTTTCGTTAATATCAAGACTATGTGAGTGAATGAATGGAAATTGTTATTAATATTATTGAATTTTTTAATAGATAATTGATATTTTCAAATTACAAAAGCTTTTTTTAAATCATCGGTTCTATACATCAATTATATAGTATCAAATAATAACTAACTCACTTTACAACTTCAGTTCCTTTACACACGAATTCTTTTAAGTCAGGAGTCAAAATTAAGTTATAGTTAGTTGGTCTAACATTAGTAGGTAAAACTTGACGTTTTCCTTCATTATCCATATTGTAACCAAAATAATAAGCAAAAAATATAATAAATATCGGCAAAAAAATAAATAGAATATAAAATTATTGTTATTAATTAAATTTTGTTTTGTTTGAATCGTTACAGAAGAAGTAGCCGGTGGACTTTTTACAGTATCCAGTTTATTATATATTAATTATTCTGGTGTGATATATTTTTAATTTAAAAATATCCATAATAATAATAATAACAAATATAGTTGGCTCGGTCTAAAGACCTCCTAAATTTTGGGCAAATTTTAAAAGTATAGAAGTCATTTTCTGTCCTATCTTTTAAAAAAATAGCTCTATTAGTTGATAGAATATGTATTTAGTTTTAATGTAATAAAGAGATTTTCTCAAAAAAATTCTCTGTTGCAGAGTTCTAATCTTTTTTAAAACATGTACTTTTATTATGCTCATGAGAAATTTGAGCGCTAGGATCATTTCTAAATTTAGACTAGTTTTTGATCATCATTACTAAATTTAGACTAATGCTCGACCATCATATCTAAATTTGGCAGTAAGAAAATAATTTTTTAACCAAAATCACGTGAAACTCTTTTTTTAAAAATTTTTTTGCATTTTTGAAATCGCAATTTGAGCGCGTCGCGCAGCAATAGGAGGTCTTTAGACCGAGCCAACCATAGTCAATCCGTTTAAACTTATTTTGGCCCCATTGTTAAAAAGCAAATAGTAAATTCGTTTAGCCATAGTATTGTGACAGAAATTTTTTTTTTGATTTAGTCAATCCATTTAAATAAAAATGCAACAAGTAAAAGTAGATTTGTACTTGTTAATAACAATAATGATTGTGTATAGGCAAATAAATATTTTTTTAAAAAAAAGAAAGATATCATAAATTTTCTAATTAATAATAACTATCAACTTCTAAATTAGATTAGTAATAAATATGGATAGCAAGCAGGTTGAACATTGGGAGGTTTTTGAATGGTTCAGAGTTTCAAGTAATTTGTATCAATTGATTCTTTTAGTTCTTATTGAGCTAAAAGATACTTCAGGGAAACTCATTTAATCATTGAAGAAGACTTAAGTGATCTAGCAGGCGAGTTAGAAAAAATAATTAATAATACACAAAACAATCCTAATAAATATTTAAAATTAATTATCGAATGTCTTAAGTGTGTATCAACACCAAATAATGAGAATTTAAGACAGTTGCTTTTAAATAAAATCCTACCTCAAACGAAGCTTCCTAGTGGCTGTTTACGTTATTTAATGCAAATAACAAACTCCCAGAGATCAGTTCTAAGAACAATAGTATATTAAAATATTCAAGCTAGAATTGCTTTTATCAGAGCCATTTCAAAACCTCACTTAGATCCAACAGATTCTGAGGGTTATCACTATATCAAATCCATACTACAGACAAGTAATGAATGAAATAAATGAAATAAATGACAAATACAACGAATTATTGGCAAAGAGGAATGCTGAAAGCACAAATTCCGGTCAAAAATTAAGTCACAAAGATGGAAAAACACTACCGCAAAAATTTGACAAAGTAAATGAACAATTTGAACATGAGTTCAAGCAAATAAATGAACAACTTTTAGAAAATAAGAAAATAGATGCTCAGATTGTAGAAAGTCTGAAAGAAAGAAAATAAATGATAAGATTTTCAAAAAGTAAGGAAATAAATAACAGACAGACAAAAACGGAAAGTTCAGTTGTTTGGAAGCAGCAATTATGGATCACGCTGATTTAATGATTAAAATGTACTACTGAACTATTTCAAACAAGAGATATATATGATCACATTACCAAAATGACTCGTCAAAAAATATATGAAACACTTGAGTTGCATGGGTTCAATTCTGGTCATCCATTTATTAATTCAATCAGAAATAATATTATTGATGAAACGAACAAATATCGTGAAATTCTAGATGAAGAAAAAAAAAGAAGAATGTCACTAGGAATGCCGAGGAACTGGTCCGCTCTGGTATTAAACTGTGGTTTTGTTTTCAGATCCAGGAATCTGCATTAAAAGTTCAATGGTATGAATAAGGGAGTACTGTCGAACCCTAATTGATGGGTGGAGCATGGGAATGTGAGAATATAGAGAATTATGTAGTAGATTTTTGTTATTTTCCTTGTATATTTTTAAAAGGAGACAAAGAATCCAACCTTTGTTACCAATCTCAAATTACAATTCGAAAAAAATCAGCATAGTTTAATAGATGATGTCTTTTATTTACCTTTATGCCTTCTTATGAAATTGCTTTATTATATTATTTTATATTTATACATTATCAGTTAATGTGCATTCACTTCTAGTGAAATTTCATAAGTAAAAAATGAAAAATGAAATTTACTATTCTTTAAATGATCAAAATCATCAATTTATTAAGGAGTGGATTTGTGCCGCATATAATTTTGTCACTGTGAGATTATATCGTTTTTATGCTTTATTATATGATAACGTTCATGTGATCACGATTGTTGATTTCTTTGGATATTGATATTAACTAACTGAAAGTAATTGAAACATAATGAAATTATGAATATAATCCCAATGAAAATAATATTAATACTGCAAAAAAGAAAAAAAATAATTAATTATGAATGTGATACTGATGAGGAAGATTTGGATTATGATTCACATAATTTAGGTTTTGATAATGAAGACAGAAATTGCAACGAAAATAATTGCTTCTAAAATAGATATTATATAATCAATTGATATCATAGTGCTATGCTTTTTTCTATAAATTTGATAAATATTGGAAATGACTCAATCCTCCATTCCCTTTCTCTTAAATGACAATAAACAACATTTGACATATCAATTGAATATAATTAGAGAGATGCGATTATATATTTATATAAAGATCTCTAAATAACTTTACCTTTTTTATTATTATATTTCCATTAAATTTATTTGTGACAGAATCTTTAAATCAGGGTTTTTTCTTTTCCAACTGACTTAATCTATCATCTTGTTTTATTATAAAATGGAATCCAGCTAATTTAATTGTTTAGAATTAAAAACATTTCAAGGTTCAATTTGGAAATGACTACTGTTTATGAATCTTCTAATAATTATTGGGAGGCAATACATATTTTGAAGTGATATCAAAAAAACAAAATTTTATGAATATAATTTATGAGCATCGAAACGAATCTTAAATGCGTATGATCGATTACTTGTTATTGAAAATTTCTGTTTAATGAATTACAAGAAAAATAAAATTCACAACAATGAAATATATCTAAATATTATTAGGTAAATATTTAAAATGAATAAGATGTCAATACAAGTTTCTTCGAAAAACAATTATTTCAAAAAACTTTTATGATTTCCGTAGGTTTTATGCAGGATTCTAAAAATGCTAATACTCCGATTTTTTGAAAATTATGCTGCATAAGCATCATATTTTGATGCAGCCTTACAAAATTCTCCTGTTGTTTTGCTCCGCGCAGATGCACTAATAAGCAATTCACCAAACATTAAAGAAAAACTTACAAATCTATCAAGATTTAAGTGAACATCAGGTAATACAATATACAACTCTCCAATCACAAAATTCTTGGTACAATAACCTCGAAATTTATACCTTTTTGGTTAGGGTAAACAGGAAAATATGTTCCAGTAAATTCTTTAGTTGGCAAATATTCTATTCCACGTTTTACTAAACAACTAAATTTGTGTATGCGGCCGTCATTTTGTTTTTCTTTCTATTGGATCTCCAGTTCTCCACATTGAAGATACAAGCACACCTATATGATATGTATATATATATATATATACTGTATAAATAAATTTTTAAAAATAAACAACATACCATAATTCAATGTTTTTGTTTAAACCAAAAATAACACCTGTTTGCATTCTATCATAAATAAAATGTGTGTTAGTTTATTACAGAATGTTGAACCTTTAAACCAATAAATTATATTCATCTCCATGTACAACAGCAGTTATTGGATTTTGAGGTACAATAATGGTTGATACTTAAAAAAAAATATATAATCTATTACTAACTAAACAAATCATGCAATTTTAATTATACTGGAAAACACCTCTATAAAGAAATGTTTTATTTATTCTTGAGATAAGGTATAGTGATTCTGAGAAACCTCCAGCTAAATACATAGCAGAGCATTCTTCTTTAAGTACTTTGTCCACTACTGGTTCAAACATTCCAAGAACATCTTCACAACTATGTCTCTATTATAATAAAACATAACTTATTAATGAAACTCATTATAATTTACATATTCTTGTTAAATAACATTTCATCTTCAGCCATCTCTCTTCTAATGTTATCAGTTACATATTCCTTAAGTAATGGACAAAAACTATCACCATAGGATCCAAACTTTATTTTGGGCAAAAGAAATCATGAATTGAATATTGATACTCGTTATAATGATTTTCTTATTGCCTTAAACCCAAGTTTATTTTTTAAGAAAGCAATAAATTCATCATCAACATAGGCTGATCCACAGAAATCTCCTGTTTGTTCACTAATTTCTGATAAGGTATTATTGGTCAATAACTCTCCAGTTGTTAAATCAACTGTGCCACCTCCACAATCCACTACCATAAATACAACTATAATAAAAGCAAATTGTCATTAAAGTCGAAAACATCTGGCATTAAAATTTTTTCCTTCAAATATATTTACATCCTTCTTTCAATAAATGTCCTTCAAGTTATCCATAAAATACAGTGAAGCCGCTTTAGCTGTTTTTTATATATAAAAATATGTGAGTCAATTAATTTTGAATATTAATAATATAGATGCAATTACTCACGTTCTGTAGTAAAATGCAAATTATCATTTGAATTTCTGCTTTCTAAATAACCAACTTGATATGGGTACGTATTACTTTACCGACAGTTCATTTTACCGACAACACACAGCGCCATTTTATTAGTTGTTTGATTATGTGAACTGTCGATAAAATGAATGCCTCCCTTTTACCATGAATCATGACTAATAATGTTTGTTGGTATGACAACATGAGCATAAGCGAAACCTAAAAATTAAAAAATTTGAATTTGAATGGTCAATTTATTCATGTATCTACAAACCTATTTTGGCTTATTAATTTAAAAAAATCCATAATAATAATAATAATAACAAATAGTCAAATCCGTTTTAGTCGATCCATTTAAATAAAAATGTAAACAATAACAAATAAAAGTATATTTGTACTTGTTAATATAGGAAATTTTACGCAAATAAATTTTTTTTAAAAAAAAGAAAGATATCATAAATTTTCTATTAATAATAACCACCAGCTTCTAAATTAGATTAGTAATAAATATGGACTACCAGCAGTGGCGGGATGAATATTGGGAAATTTTTGAATGTTTCAAAACTTCAAGTAGTTTGCATCATTGGATTCTCTTAGTTCTTATTGAGCTAAAGGATAGTTCAGAGCAAACTCATTTTATCTTAGAAGAGAGTTTAAAAGATCTGACAGGCGAGATAGAAGAAATACTTGATAACGTACAAAAAAGTCGTGATGAACATTTAAAAATAATTAGCAAATGTCATGACTGTATATTAACACCAAATGATGAAGATTTAAGACAATCGCTTTTAAATGAAATCCTGCCTCAAGCAAAGCTTCCTAATGATTGGTTGTCTTATTTAATACAAATGACAGACTCCCAGCGGTCATTTCTAAGAAGAATTGTATATCAAAATATTCAAGCTAGGCTTGCTTTTGTCAGATTCATTTCGAAAACTTACTTAGATCCAACAGACTCTGAGAGTTATCACCATACCAGCAATCCTTACTACAGACAAATAATGAATGAAAAAAATGAAATAAATGACAAATACAACGATTTATTGGCCAAATACAACGAATTATTGGCAAAGAAGAATAAACAATTTGAATATGAGTTTGAGCAAATAAATCAACGACTCTTAGAAAATAGGGAAATAAATACTCAGATTTTAAAAAATACGCAAACAAATTCTCGGATTTTAGAAAATAAAATAAGTGATGCATATAACTGTTCATTTAAAAAATATAACTTTTATAAACAAGAATCAGAAAATATTAAAATTGAATTAATAAATGCTGAGCAAAAAGCTTTAAATTTACAAGCTGCACTTGAAGATGCCACTAATAAATTAACAAATGCCGAGAAAAACGCTTTAAATTTACAAGCTGCACTTGAAGATGCTACTAATAAATTAACAAATGCTGAGGGAAAAGCTTCAGTTTTACAAGCTAAGCTCAGAGACATTACTAATGAATCAACAATTACTGATGAAATGGCTTTAGATGTTACTAATAAATTAAAAAATACCAAGAAAAAAGCTTTAAATTTACAAGCTGCACTTGGAGATGCTACTAATGTTTGTTTGAGTGATGAATCCAATAATTATCTTCAATTAAAAAAAGATATCATCAAATTTAAAAAATTAGTAGAGGCTTTCATTAAAGTCAAAGGAAAATCCACTATCATACAGATCAAAGAGAAAGCAGCAAATAAATTATTATTGGTATATAAGTTTAAGAAAGATAAGGATACTTTTAAGGATGATTTGAGACTCATCCTTCAAAGTATAATAATTGGAAAAATATTTTCTGGAATAGAAAAAATAACAGACAGAGACAAAAACGGAAAGTTCATTTGTTTGGAAGCAGCAATTATGAATCATACTGATTTAATGATTAAATGTACCACTGAACTATCCCAAATGAGAGGCGTAGATGATCACATTACCAAAATGACTCGTCAAAAAATATATGAAACACTTGAGTTGCATGGGTTCAATTCTGATCATCCATTTATTAATTCAATCAGAAATAATATTATGGATGAAATGAACAAATATCGTGAAATTCTAGATGAAGACAGAAGGAAGAATGTCAGTAAGTATGCTGAGGAACTAGTCCGATCTGGTATTAAACTGTGGTTTTGTTCACAAATTCAGGAGCCTGTAGTAAATATTGAATGGTATAAACCAGGGAAACCTGTCGATATCGATTTCATGGAAGGACCATGGGAGCATAACAATGCAAACAATTCTGTAGTAGAACTTTGCTATTTTCCTTGTATATCATCAAAAGGAGAAGAACCTGAAATTTATTGCAAATCCCAAGTTACAATTCGAACAAAACCCAAATCGTGGAACATTTTTTAGTAAATGCGAAAAATTTTTTTTTCCCGCTAATGTGGTATATAGAAGTGTCCTTTATTTGCTTTTTAATTAATTAATTAGTTTATTTAATTTTTATTACCAGTTAAAATGTATCTACTTCTAATGAAACTTCGTTAGTAAAAATAAAAATTAGATTTTACCAAACTTTTTAAGGGACAGATTCAACGCGCATACAATTTTGCCACTGAGATTATATTGTTTTATGATATCTTTCATATGATTGCAATCACTGATTCTTTGGATATTAAGCATGAAATCAATTAACTGAAACATTCATATGCAAAGTTCACATACTTGAAATATTCTCATATTAAAACAGTTGAATTTAAGCATTATTTAAATAGAATCTAAAAATTCTATTTGCATTACACTATAATTTCTTCCTATTTTAGGTAAATATTTCAAAAATTTGGAGCTTATTTTAATAAATTATCTAGCTGCCTGAAAGAAAGAGAAAGCTCATTTAGTGATTTGGTTTTGTGAATTATAACTTCATACTTGCCATAATTCATTTTATGATAAACCGATTTTACTACTCTCATATTTTATATATTTGAAACGCTGATATTTTTATTTCATTCAACATCCAACTGCGTTGGTGTTCCTAAATTCTTAAACGGCCCGTTGAAAATTTTCGAGGAATTTTATTCCACAGATATTCAATTGGGTTGTATTGGCGAGTCCTTTTTTTGAAGGAATAAAGGCCAGCCTAAAGACCGGTTTAATAGTATTTTGAATTTAAGTCACTGTACAAAATTCTTTATGGTGAAAATCGACAAGTTGAAAAATTCCAAGAATTGGATAATGGGGGTTTTTTTTATCACGAGTTTATTAGTAGTAATAATGATATTTAAAATAATTCTTCTCGTCTTGATTGCAAAACACCAATTATTGAAATATCCGAAAGAAATGAAACTCATAAAAAGAAAATGATTAGCTCAATTTAAAATGGCTAACTTATTGTTTTAATTCTAAATGAATGCTCTGTAAAATATATGGTGCAAATATTCCTTGTGTCTCAGTAGCATTATTGATCATTGTAAGGCAGAAGAATTTAAATAATTTTCATGATAAAAATATAATTTCTGAAATAAATTCCATGTTTTCTCCTATAAATTTTAATAAATGTTATTTACTAATATTGAAAGCGACTCAATAAACATGCCATTCCTTTTCTCTTAAATAGAAATAAATAGCATTTGACATATCAATTGAATTTAAATAGAGTAACGTAATTTTATCAGATTATATTTAAAAACATTCTGTTTAATGAATTACAAAAATAAATAAAATAAAATTCCAATAAAATAATAAATATATATCTAAGATAAGTACTATTGAGTAAATATTTAAAATGAATAAGATGTTAATTTTACCGATCGATAAAAATGTCTAAACTACAATTAAGACTAAAAGAAAATTGTGATAACTGTAAAGATTCTTCAAAAACAATTGTTTCAAAAATTTTATAATTTCTGTCAAGTTTTACACTAGCATTCAAAAACCTTCATACCAGATGCTAATTGTTGCTTTAATAGGTTTAGCATACTCAAATGTGGCTTTACAAGATTTTCCTGATTTTTTGCACCGTGCAGTTGCACTTATAAGCAGTTCACCAAACATTAAAGAAAAATCTGCAGATCTATCGAGTCCATATTTAACATCAGGTAATTCAATATACAACTCCCCAATCAATTCCATACCAGGTTCATCGCAAAATTCTTGATTGTTCTTTGGTGTACAATATACCTTGAAATTTATACCTTTTTGGTCAGGGTAAACAGGAGAATATGTTCCAGTAAATTCTTTAGTTGGCGAATATTCTATTCCACGTTTTGCTAAACAACTAAATTTGCGTATGCGGCCATCTTTTGTTTTTCTTTCTATTGGATCTCCAGTTACCCACTTTGAAGATGTACGCACACCTATATATATATTATATATAAATATATATATATAAATTAATAAACTTTTAAAAAATAAACAACATACCATAATTCAATGTTAATTGACGTGTTGCGATAGCCTTTGAGTTTAAACCATAAATTACCCCTATTTACATTATGTGTTAGTTTATTATAGAACCTGAATGCTGGATATTTAAAAATCAATAAATTATATTTACCCCCACGTACAACGGCAGATATTGGATTTTGAGGTACAGAAATAATTGGTACTTAAAACAACATGTATATAATCAATTACTAACCACACAAATGATCAAATGATTTAATTTCGATTATTTCTGCAAAATACCTGTAGCACTAAATGTATTCTTAATTCTTGAGACAAGATACGGAGATTCTGCAAAACCTCCAGCCAAAAATAAAGCAGAACACTCTTCATTTGTATTTGAAGATGTTAATTGATTGCGGATTAAACGAATGATTCGGTTTATTACTGGATCAAACATTGCAAGAACATCTTCATGAGTAATCTCTAATAACCAGTCCTCTATTATAACAAAAAATAATTATTTGTTAACTTTATTAATGAGACTCTTATATAATCTTATTGAATAACATTTCACCTTCTGCCATTTTATCACTAATATCTTTAGCTATATAATCCTTAAGTGATGGACAGAATCTTCCAATGTCCAAGTCAATTGCTTCAAAACTATCACCATCAAACCCAAACTTTATTTCTGGACAAAAGAAATGATGAATTAAATATTGATACTCATCATAATGATTTTCTTTAAAATCACTCATTGCTTTAGATCCGAGTTCATCTTTTAAGAAAGTAATAAATTCATCATCAACATAAGTTGATCCGCAAAAATCTCCTGTTCGTTCACTAACTTCTGATAAAGTATCACTGGTCAATAATTTTCGAGTTGTTAAATCAACTGTGCCACCTCCACAATCCACCATCATAAATGTAGCTAAATATTATAATAAAAGCAAATTATCGTTAAAGTCGTTGGAAACACCTGGTATCAAATTTTTCTTCAAATATATTTACATCCTTCTTTCAACGAATATTCTTTCAATTTATCCATACAATACAATGCGGCTGCTTCAGCTGTTTTTATATATGAAAATAAGTCAATTAGTATTAGTTTCCAAAACTATAGAGTTTCCTGTCGAAAGTCGAAATTGGCTTTGACTTTTGACTTTTGATTTGATTTTAGTTTTAAGTTTCGCCTCTTCAGGCGACCAACATTAAAGTCAATTAATATAATCTATAGATGCAACAATGTTTTCTTACGTTCTGTAATAAATTCTAAATTCTTATTTGAATTTTTGTTTTCTAAATAGCCAGCAGAATATATACAATCTTGTAATACTCCGATCGTCCCTGGACCCCTAAAAGTTTAGTAATTTTATACAAGGTCAATATCATTGTTATGTTTGTTGTGACTATAGATAGGCGTCTAAATTGTTTTTGGGATTCGTGTAAATACACTAAATGTGTAAATTAATTTATATTTTAGACATTGTCTAAATAATTTAGTTTAGACACCCATCTATAATCGTGACTCTAAAATTTAAATTCCTACCATTCAGCTGGAACAGTAAATACTAATCTAACTTGGCTAGGGAATATTACAGTAGGCCAACGGTTTGTAATAGTTTCTAAAATTAACTGAAGTTGAAAAAAATTGGTGTTATGAAAATGCAAAAAAACGATACAATTATGTTTTAATAGTGAACTTTTCAAAACTATTAACTGGTCTCATCTCTTTTAGATAGTCAGTAATTGCTTTACGATAATCTAAACCGTCAGGCATGCGTATTTTATCTGATTTTTTTGAATCATCTTTAAGAAGCAATTTAAAATATTCTACAGGTTTTGTTGCGGATTCTGATGTTTGCTTTTTTTTTCTTCTGGGTTCTCGTGACAACGCTTGATGACCCCATGCTATGACTTTATCGTATGAATCGTCATATTGTAAAACTGTATTATTTTTTGGAGCTTTGAATCGTGTCTTATTTTGACCTGGCCTGTTAAAAAATACAAAAATCATATCTTAAATACCGCTTTGTTAGATATTAGTAATTTTGTTACGCGCGTTATATATTTTACCATGAGTCATGACTAGTGATGTCTGCTGGTCTGGCAACGTGTGCATAAGCAAAACCTGAAAATTAAATATTAAATTATAGTTTACGATTTTTATTGTTACTAAATTCATGTCTGTTAATTTACTAACCGGAATAAGTCGTCCCAAAATCTAAATTTACAAAGGATAAAAGTTTTATTAAACAACTTTTAAACAAAATATAAAATTAATTTAACATATTCATCTTTTAATTAAATACCGATAGCAACGACTACGGGAAAACTCATATTTGTGCAAATTTTCATTTATTTTTTTTTAATCCAAATACAAGAATAATAATTTATAAAACTCTAAGAAGCTACCTTTATTAATCAATTATTTAAAAGCGCAAATAGTCGTGCAAAATTTATTCAAATTTAAATTTAAACCAATAAATAGTCAATTCGTTTAAGTATCATACAAACATATTTGGCTTACGAATCATTTTTAAAAAAAACATAAATAATAATTAAACGGTCAATTTGTTTAATTATTATACAACTTTAGTGTTTAAAAAATAAGCAGTAAATACATTTAGTTTATTATATTTTTTCTTGATTTAGTCAATCCATTTAAAAATAAAAATACAAACAATAACAAATAAAAGAAAATTTGTACTCATTAATAAAAGATGCAAAGATATAAATGATTAAAATTTATGCAAAAATTTTTTAAAAAAAGAAAGATATCATAAATTTTCTTATTAATAATAACTATCAGTTTAAATTAGATTAGTAATAAATATGGACTACCAGCAGTGGCGTGATGAATATTGGGAAATTTTTGACTGGTTTAGAGTTTCAAATGAACCGCGTATATGGATTCTTTTGGTTCTTGTTGAGCTAAAAGATAGTTCGGAGCAAACTCGGGATATCCTTAGAGAATGTTTAAAAGATCTAGCAGGCGAGACAAATGAAATACTTGATGCCATGCAAAACAATCCTAATGAATATGTAGAATCAATTAACGAATGTCTTAACAAATGTCATCACTGCATATTAACACCAGATGATGTTGATTTGAGACTTTCACTTTTAGACAAAATAGTGACTGAAACGGAGCTTCCTAATAATTTCTTAACTTCTTTACATGAATTTACAGACTCCCAGCAATCAGTTTTAAGAACAATGGTGCATCAAAATATTCAAGCAAAAGTTGCTTTTATTAGAACTATATCTGGAACTCACTCAGCTCCAGAAAATTCTGAAGGTTATCACTGTACCAACAATCCTTACTACAGACAATTAAATCTCAAATGCAGCAATTTATTAGCCAAACACAACGAATTATTGACAAATAACAATGCTAAAAGTTCAAATTTCGGTTATGAAGATGGAGAAACTTTGCCGCAAAAAGTTAGCAAAATGAATGAAAAATTTGAACGTGAATTCGACCAAATAAACGAACAACTTTTAGAAAATAAGAAAACAAATATTCAGATTTTAGAAAATATGAAAGAAAATAAGAAAATAGATGAACAACTTTTAGAAAATAAGAAAACAAATATTCAGATTTTAGAAAATATGAAAGAAAATAAGAAAATAGATGAACAAGTTTTAGAAAATAAGAAAGTAAATACTCAGATTTTAACTCAGATTTTAGAAAATACGGAAAAAATAAAGTCTATTGAAGATGGATATGATCGTTTATTTAAAGAAAACAAGTTTTATAAACAAGGTTTAGAAACCACTAAAAATGAATTAACAATCGCCGAGAAAAAAGTTTTAAATTTACAAGCTGCACTCGGGGATGCTACTAATGTTCGTTTGAGTGACGAATCCTCGAATAGTTCTCTTCAATTAGGAAAAGATATCACTAAATTTAAAAAATTAGTAGAGGCTTTTGTTAAAGTCAAAGGAAAACAAGTACAAATCAAAGAGCAAGCAGCAAATAGTTTATTATCAGAATTTGGATTTAAGAACGATAAGGCAACTTTTAAGGATGTTTTGGGATTCATCCTTCAAAGGATAGTAATTGATAAAGTATTTTCTGAGATAGAAAAAATAACATCATACAAAGGCAAAAACGGAAATTTCAATTATTTAGAAGCAGCAATTATAGATTATACTAATAAAATAATTGAATGGACCACTAAACTATCTCAAACAAGAGATGGAGATGATCACGTTGCCAAGATGACTCCCATCAAAATTCGACAACAAATATATGAAACACTTACATTGCGTGGATTCAACACTTCTGATGATGCATTTATTAATTCAATCAGGAATAGTATTATAAATGAGATGAACGAATATCGTGAAATTTTAGGTGAAGACAGAAATAAGAATGTCATTAAGCATGCTGATGAATTAGTACGTTTCGGTATTAAACTGTGGTTTCGTTTGAAAATTCAGGAGCCTATAGTAGATATTAAATGGTATAAACCAGAGGAAGCTGTCAATACCGATTTCATGGAAGGACCATGGGAGATTGACGATATAAATAATTATGGAGTAGAACTTTGTTATTTTCCTTGTATACTATCAAATGGAAAGGAAACCGAAATTTATTGCAAATCTCAAGTTACAATTCGAAAAAAATCCAGATCGTGGATTCCAGGGCGGTAAACTTAGCAACATGATATAGAATGTTTCTTTTATTTTATTTTAATTATTTATAATTAGTTTATTAATTAGTTTATTAATTAGTTTATTTGATTTTTATTATCAGTTAACATGCATTTCACTTCTAATGAAATTTCATTAGAAAAAATAAAAATCAGATTTTAAATGATCAAACTTGCCGGTTTATTGAGAAATTCTTTGTTAATTGTTATAGAAAATTTTTTAAGGGGCGCGGATTTGACTCGCATATAATTTTGTCATTATTATTATATTTTAACATTCTTTATCATGTGACGAAGTTCGTGTGATTGTAATCGTTGAATTACCTTCTTTGGATCATGCCTTCTATCATTAGATAATAATAAGGTAATTGAAGCATAAGACTATTGAATGAAACATGCAGTAATTAATTGATGTACTCAAAAGAAATCTCTGCTACCATATTTAGCAACACATGACATACAGTCAGACTCCTATATAGTCACACACCTCGGGACCATAGTGAAATTTCAAGAATTTTGGTGACTATAATGTTTGTGACTATACAGGACATGTTTTTACTATGATTAATTAGTAGCAGGGAATTTACTATACTATGTTGTGACTATATAGGATGTGACTATATAGGAGTCTGACTGTAATTATAATTATTAGTTTTTGATTCTTTCTTTAATTCCATTGACAGCAATAATAAATAAATAAACCATATATTATTAATAAGTAATGCACATTTTGAAATTCCTTTTAACCGTTCCGAAATTCATTGAAGTGTTATGAATATATAATTTATGGGCATCGAAACAAATTTTAGATACGCATCATTTATGATCGATCATATTATATTGATTATATTGACATTATCAAAAAAGCTTCTGTTCAATGAATTACAGGAAAAAATAAAGTCCATAACAATAAAATATATCTAATTAATATTATAATTAAATAAATGAATAAGATGTCAATTTTACCAATCGGCAAAAATGCTATATTTACATCTCAACTACAATTAAAATTAAAGAAAATTGTGACAACTATGAAGATTCTTCAAAAAAGAATGATTTCAAAAAAGCCTTATAATTTCCATGAATTTCTGTTAAATTTTGCGCAAGCTTTCAAATAAACCAGCTGCGATTTTTTACTTCATAAGCTTCAGGTCTAGCATATTCAAATGTAGCTTTACAAGCTTTTCCTGATTTTTTGCACCATGCAGTTGCAGTGATAAGCAGTTCACCAAACATCAAAGAAAATTCCACAGGTCTATCAAGCTGATATTTAACATCAGGTAATTCGATAAACAATTCTCCAATCAATTCCATACCAGGTTCATCACAAAATTTTTGATTATTTCTTGGTGTAGCATATATCTGGAAATTCATGCCTTTTTGGTCTGGGTAAACAGGGGAATAAGTGCTAGAAAAATCTTGAGTTGGTGAATATTCCACTCCACGTTTTGCTAAACAATCAAATTTGAATATATGATCATCATTTGTTTTTTTTTCTAATGGATCTCCAGTTACCCACTCTAAATATACACGCACACCTATATGATATATGTATATTAACATATATATATTATATAAATTAATGAATTTTAAAAAATAAACAAGCATACCATAATTCAATGTCAATTGACGTGTTGCAATAGCCTTTGTGTTTAAACCATAGATAACCCCTGTTTAAATTGTGTGTTAGTTAGTTCATTATAGAACCTGAATGCTGAATATTTTAAAAATCAATAAATTATATTCACCTCCACGTACAACAGCAGATATTGGATTTTGAGGCACGGAAATAATTGATACTTGAAAAAAATTACATATTAATATAATAAATTATTAATAACCAAATACAAACAAATGTAGTTTCGATTATTTCTGCAAAATACCTGTAGAACCAAATGCATTCTTTATTTTTGAGATAAGATATGGAGATTCTGAAAAACCTCCAGCCAAAAATAAAGCAGAACATTTTTCTTTTGAAGCTGTTAATTGATTACGGATTAAACGAATAATTCGGTTTATTACTGGATCAAACATTGCAAGAACATCTTCATAAGTAATCTCTAGTAACCAATCCTCTGTTATAAAAAATATAATTATTTGTTAACTTATTAATGAAACTCATAATAGTTTACATGTTCTTATTAAATAACATTTCACCTTTTCTCAATTTATCACTAATATCTTTGGTTATATAATCCTTAAGTGCTGGACAGAATCTTCCAATGTCCAAGTCTGTTGCATCAAAACTATCACCATCAAACCCAAACTTTATTTCTGGACAAAAGAAATGATGAATTAAATATTGATACTCATCATAATGTTTTTCTTTAAAATCACTCATTGCTTTAGATCCTAGTTCATTTTTTAAGAAAGTAATAAATTCATCATCAACATAAGTTGATCCGCAGAAATCTCCTGTTCGTTCACTAACTTCTGATAAAGTATCACTGGTTGCTAATTTTCGAGTTGTTAAATCCACTGTGCCACCTCCACAATCCACTACCATAAATGTAGCTGATTATTATAATAAAAGCAAAATTATCATTAAAGTCGTTGAAAACACCTGGTATCAAATTTTCTTTAAATATATTTACATCCTTCTTTCAACAAATGTTCATTCAATTTATCCATACAATACAGTGCGACTGCTTCAGCTGGTAAATATATATATAAAAATATGTAAATCAATTAGTGTTAACTTCCAAAAATATGGAGTTTTGCAACTGTTGAAAGTCAAAACTAGTTTTGGCTTTAGACATATAACATATAATTTTAGTTTTGATTTTCGCTTCTTCAAAATAATTTAAATGACCAACACTAAAGTCAATTAAGTTTGAATATAAGATTAAGATGCAACGATTCCTTACGTTCTGTAATAAATTCTAAATTATTATTTGAATTTTCATTTTCTAAATAACCAGCTGCATATATACACTCTTGTAATACTCCGATAGTCCCTGGACCCCTAAAGATTTAGTAATTTCATACAAGATCAATATCATTATTATGACTATCATGGCTCTGTTTAAATCCTTACCACTCGGCTGGAACTGTAAAGACTAATCTAACTTGATTAGGAAAGCTTACAGTAGGCCAACGTTTTGTAATAGTTTCTGAAATTAACTGAAGTTCAAAAAAATTAATGAGATGAAATGATATAATTATGTTTTATGGAGAATAGAATTATTTCAAAAATATTAACTGGTTTCATGGCTTTTAGATAATCAGCAATTGCTTTACGATAATCTAATCCGGCAGGCATGCGTATTTTATCTGATCTTTTTGAGTCATATTTAAGAAGTAATTTAAAATATTCTACAGGTTTTGATACGGGTTCTAATGTATTTCTTCTTCTCCTAGGTTCTCGTGCCAATGCTTGATAACCCCATGCTATGACTTTATCGTATGAATGATCGTATTGTAAAACTGTATTATTTTTTGGAGCTTTGAATCGTGTCTTATTTTGACCTGGCCTGTCAAAAAGTACAAAAATAATATATATTTATGTATATTTAAATACTGCTTTGTTAGATATTAGTAATTTTTGTTATTATATGTTTACCATGAATCATGACTAGTAATGTCTGCTGGTCTGGCAATGTGAGCATAAGCGAAACCTGAAAGTTAAGAATTAAATTATAGTCCACGATTTTATTTTATTGTTACTAAACATAAATTCATGTTTGCTAATTTACTAACCGGAATAAGTCGTTCCAAAATCTAAAATTTACAAAGAATAAGTTTTTTAGATAAAGCAAAATTAATTTCATATATTCATCTTTTGATTAAATACCAATAGCAACTACTACAGGATAGCTCATCTTTGTATAAATTTTCTTTTTTTTTCTTTAATCTAAAAATAAAATAAAAAATACAATCATAATTTATAAAGCCTAATAAACCACTTTTATTAATCAATTAATTCGAAAACGGAAATGGTTGTTCAATTTTAAATTTAAATGGTCAATCCGTTTAAGACCATTCAATCACATTTTGGCTTATCAATCATTTAAAAAATCTGTAATAATAATAAATGGTCAATTCGTTTAAGTAGCTACCATTCAATCCTATTTTGGCTTATCCATTTAAAAACAACAATTCTTTAGGCGTTAAGCAAATCTATTTTTAGTTTTATTGTTAAAAAATAAATAATATATTCGTTTAGCATTGTATTGAGATGGAAGATTTTCTTGATTTAGTCTAACCATTTAAACAATGGAAATACAAACTATAATAACTAAAAGGAGATTTGTACTCGATGTATAATTGGTAAATTTACGCAAAAAAAAATTAAAAATGAAAGATATCCTTATTAATAACTAGGGAATGTTAACAAACGCTATTTGCTCGAGTAAGCAAAGGCTAGGGCAACTAACGAATGTTAGTAAATGCTATTTACTTTAGTGAAGCATTGTCTAAAGGTTAATTGGAAGTACTGTTAGCGTTATTCTAATAAATTGTTATAGCAAATATAATGATGTTAAACGAGCTGTTTGTAAATAAATAAAGCAAGCTTGCAATCAGCCAATAAATAAAAACAAGTATAAACGACTGAAATAAGCCAGTCACTAGTGAATAAAAGGAACTTTTGGGTTTAACAAATGGTCCATATTCGTTTGTTTACAGTTATCATACATTGTTGAGGGTGTTTACAGATTCTCCAAAGCTTTCTAGGTACAAGAAAAAGGCAGAAAGCGGGAATCAAAGTAAAGTTCGTAAACTAATTGGTTGACAAGCGTCAAATTATTGTGTATTAACTGACAAAAGTAATCCAAAAGTTAAACCATCGTCAGCCATATGCATTAAATAATCAGCACTAACAGAAAGGTTACCTTGCAATATAAATTTCTAAATATATCCCTATAATTTGATTCATCTTCAGCTAGTCCAAATTCAAGCTTCAGAAAAAAATTTATTTTAAAGATTGATCAAGACTTAACTCAAGTATTGATTCCTGATGAGATGTACCAGTATTTGACATAGAGTTATTTGATCGTTACTTTGCCTTATTAGTTTTGTTCGTTTTGTTCGACTAAAATTTCAATGTGATTCGAATGCTCAAATTCATAATGAAACGAACAAAACGAACAAAACGAACAAAACGAACAAAACGAACAAAACGAACAAACCTTATTCGAATAGAAACCCTAAGGACGTTCTATTTTTTTTCAATTCATATATAAAATTAATCGTCTCTGCAAACTTTTTAAACTCTTGTTGTTTCAGGTTCCAAACTACAACACCTTTAATTAATTAAGTTTGTGTCTCCAGAAAAAAATCGTCAACTGGAACATTGATTGTTATAATAGCAAAGTGCAAAAATTAGAATATCAGGGACTTCTAAGTAGTTAGCAGTAGACATATGGTTCTTGAATAATATGATGGTTTATCATTCATTATTTTTAAAAGAAACTTTATATATTATTATAATAATGGAACTTTAATTTATTATTATGCTATTAATTGTACTAATCATTTTCTTCAAAAATAGGTCTATTGCTATTAATTTTTATTTCAAAAAAAGTAATTAACAAAAACAGATATCTAGTTTACCACTATTATTAAAGTATGTACAGTATGATTTTATTAAAAATTTTTTTTCTAAAGAACGGAATTGACAGTGTACAATCAGAAAAAATGGCTTCAACGCGACTATCAATTTATACTGGTATAAATTTATTATCAGTTATGTACATTTTGTTAATAAATAAAATAAAAAAAGAATGGGTAATAAATAATATATTTATTTTATTTATATTACAAATAATAATTTTTATTCCAAACAAACATGGCCTGACCTAGTATTGTTATTTCCACCAACAACACGAATAATATGCATGTTTTGTTTTTCTCCTTCAGGCATTTTTCGATTATCAAAAATCCAGTTTTACAGTGAATGGACCATAATGAATGTTGGAACGAGTTTACCAATAGCAATAAGTTGAAGTTTATGTTTTTACGAAGACATTATTAATTAGTAAGAAAAATTGAGATTCAACCCCACAATTAACATTTTTATTTTTATTTAAAATGAATAAAATATCAATTTTACCAAGTGATAAAAATGATATATTTACACCTCAATTACAATTAAGGTTAAAAAAAATTGTAATAACTGAATATTCTTCAAAAAACAATCGTTTCAAAAAAATTTTATAATTTCCGTGAATCTCTGTTAAATTTTACGCAAAATTTCATAACAGCAGCTATTTATTAGAAGATACTCCATAGGCTCCAGGTTTAGTATATTCAAATGTAGCTTTACAAACTGTTCCGGATTTTTTGCACCGTGCAGTTGCATTGATAAGTAGTTCTCCAAACATCAAAGTAAATTCCACAGGTCTATCGACTGTATACTCATCAGGTAATTTAATATACAATTTTCCAATCAATTCCATACCAGGTTCATCACAAAATTTTTGATTATTTCTTGGTGTAGCATATACCCCGAATTCTATACCCTTTTGATGAGCGTAAACAGGATAATATGTTCCGGGAAAACCTTGAGTAGGTGAATATTCTATTCCACGTTTTGCTAAACAATCAAATTTGTAAATATGGTCATCTTCTGTTTTTCTTTCTACTGGATCTCCAGTTACCCACTCTGAATATATACGCACACCTATATGATATATGTATATTAACATATATATATTATATAAATTAATGAATTTTAAAAAATAAATAAGCATACCATAATTCAATGTCAATTGACGTGTTGCAATAGCCTTTGTGTTTAAACCATAAATAACCCCTGTTTAAATTGTGTGTTAGTTTATCATAGAACCTGAATGCTGAATATTTTAAAAATCAATAAATTATACTCACCTCCACGTACAACAGCAGATATTGGATTTTGAGGTACGGAAATAATTGATACTTGAAAAAAATTACATATTAATATAATCAACAATTATTAATAACCAATACAAACAAATGTAGTTTCGATTATTTCTGCAAAATACCTGTAGAACCAAATGCATTCTTTATTTTTGAGATAAGATATGGAGATTCTGAAAAACCTCCAGCCAAAAATAAAGCAGAACATTTTTCTTTTGAAGCTGTTAATTGATTACGGATTAAACAAATAATTCGGTTTACTACTGGATCAAACATTGCAAGAACATCTTCATAAGTAATCTCTAGTAACCAGTCCTCTGTTATAAAAAATATAATTATTTGTTAACTTATTAATGAAACTCATAATAGCTTACATGTTCTTATTAAATAACATTTCACCTTTTCTTAATTTATCACTAATATCTTTGGTTATATAATCTTTAAGTGCTGGACAGAATCTTCCAATGTCCAAGTCTGTTGCATCAAAACTATCACCATCAAACCCAAACTTTATTTCTGGACAAAAGAAATGATGAATTAAATATTGATACTCATCATAATGTTTTTCTTTAAAATCACTCATTGCTTTAGATCCTAGTTCATTTTTTAAGAAAGTAATAAATTCATCATCAACATAAGTTGATCCGCAGAAATCTCCTGTTCGTTCGCTAACTTCTGATAAAGTATCACTGGTCAATAATTTTCGAGTTGTTAAATCCACTGTGCCACCTCCACAATCCACTATCATAAATGTAGCTAATTATTATAATAAAAGCAAATCATCGTTAAAGTCGTTGAAAACACCTGATATCAAATTTTCTTTAAATATATTTACATCCTTCTTTCAACAAATGTTCTTTCAATTTATCCATGCAATACAATGCAGCCGCTTCAGCTATTTTATATATATATAAATAAGTCAATTAGTGTTAGTTTTCCAACTGTTGAAAATCGAAACCAGTTTTGACTTTTGTCTTTTGACTTTCGCCTCTTCGAAATAGTTTAGGTGACCAACACTAAAGTCAATTAATTTTGAATATAAGATTAAGATGAAACGATTCCTTACGTTCTGTAATAAATTCTAAATTATTATTTGAATGTTCGTATTCTAAATAACCAGCGGCATATATACACTCTTGTAAAATTCCAATCGTCCCTGGACCCCTAAAGATTTAGTAATTTATACAAGATCAATATCATTATTATGACTATCATGACTCTGTTTAAATCCTTACCACTCGGCTGGAACTGTAAAGACTAATCTAACTTGATTAGGAAAGCTTACAGTAGGCCAACGTTTTGTAATAGTTTCTGAAATTAACTGAAGTTCAAAAAAATTAATGAGATGAAATGATATAATTATGTTTTATGGAGAATAGAATTATTTCAAAACTATTAACTGGTTTCATGGCTTTTAAATAATCAGTAATTGCTTTACGATAATCTAATCCGGCAGGCATACGTATTTTATCTGATCTTTTTGAGTCATATTTAAGAAGTAATTTAAAATATTCTACAGGTTTTGATACGGGTTCTGATGCATTATTTCTTCTTCTCCTAGGTTCTCGTGCCAACGCTTGATAACCCCATGCTACGACTTTATCGTATGAATTATCGTATTGTAAAACTGTATTATTTTTTGGAGCTTTGAATCGTGTCTTATTTTGACCTGGCCTGTCAAAAAGTATAAAAATAATATATTTATGTATATTTAAATACTGCTTTGTTAGTTATTAGTAGTGATTTTTGTTATTATATGTTTACCATGAATCATGACTAGTAACGTCTGCTGGTCTGGCAATGTGAGCATAAGCGAAACCTAAAAATTAAGAATTAAATTATAGTCCACGATTTTATTTTATTGTTACTAAACATAAATTCATGTTTGCTAATTTACTAACCGGAATAAGTCGTTCCAAAATCTAAAATTTACAAAGAATAAGTTTTTTAGATAAAGCAAAATTAATTTCATATATTCATCTTTTGATTAAATACCAATAGCAACTACTACAGGATAGCTCATCTTTGTATAAATTTTCTTTTTTTTTCTTTAATCTAAAAATAAAATAAAAAATACAATCATAATTTATAAAGCCTAATAAACCACTTTTATTAATCAATTAATTCGAAAACGGAAATGGTTGTTCAATTTTAAATTTAAATGGTCAATCCGTTTAAGACCATTCAATCACATTTTGGCTTATCAATCATTTAAAAAAAACTGTAATAATGATAAATGGTCAATTCGTTTAAGTAGCTACCATTCAATCCTATTTTGGCTTATCCATTTAAAAAAAATCCACAATAATAATAATAATAAATGGTCAATTCTTTAGGCGTTAAGCAAATCTATTTTTAGTTTTATTCATTAATAATAATAAATGGTCAATTCGTTTAATTATCTACCATTCAATCCTATTTTAGCTTATCAATCATTTAAAAAACATAATAATAATAATAAATGGATTCGTTTAAGTATTAAGCAAATCCATTTTTGGCTTAAAAAAAATTGATTTAGTCAATCCATTTAAATAAAAAAAATACAAACTATAATAAATAAAAAAGAAGATTATACTCATAAGTAAATGATTGTGTGAGTAAATTTTTAGTAAATTTATAAATTTACGCAAATAAATTTTAAAAAAGAAAAATATCATATATTTTCTTATCAATAATAACCATCAAGTTCTAATTATAAGAGTAAATTATGGGCCAAGAATATAGTTGGGCTGACCATTGGAAAGTTTTTGAATGGTTCAAAACTTCAAGTAGTTTGCATCATTTGATTCTTTTAGTTCTTATTGAACTAAAAGATAGTTCAGAGCAATCTCGTTATATCTTAGAAGAGAGTTTAAAAGATCTAGAATGTGAGACAAAAGAAATATTTGATAACGTACAAAAAAGTCCTAGTGAATATTTAAAAATAATTGGAGAATGTCGTAGCTGTATATTAACACCAAATAATGAAGGTTTAAGACAATCGCTTGTAAATGAAATCCTGCGTCAAGAAAAGCTTCCTAATGGTTGGTTGCCTTATTTAATACAAATAACAGACTCCCAGCGAACAGTTTTAAAAACAATGGCACATCAAAATATTCAAGCAAGAGTTGCTTATATCAGAGCCATTTCGAAACCTCACTTAGATCAAATAGACTCTGAGGGCTATCACTATACCAGAAATCCTTATTACAGACAAGTAATGAATGAAAAAAATGAAATAAATGTCAAATACAACGAATTATTGGCAAATAACAATGCTGGACGTTCAAATTCCGATCAAGGATCAAGTCACGATGATGAAGGTGAAGTAACTTTACAGAAAAAATTTGGAAAAATGAATAAAAAATTTGAACGTGAGTTTGAACGAATAAATCAACAACTTTTAGAAAATATGAAAATAAATACTCGGATTTTAGAAGAAAATAAGAAAATAAATGACAAAAATACGCAATCAAATGCTCAGATTTTAGAAAGTGTGAAAGAAAATAAGAAAATAAATACCTTGATTTTAACCAGTACACAATTTAATGCCCAAAATTTAGAAAAAAATAAGAAAACAAATGCTCAAATTTTAGAAAATACTCAAAATTTAAAATCACTTGATTTTGAATGTGACCGTTTATCCAAAGAAAACAACGTTTATAAAAAAGAAACAGAAAATATTAAAAATCAATTAACGAATGCTGAGCAAAAAGCTTTAAATTTAGAAGCTGCACTCGGGGATGCTACTAATGTTCGATTGAGTGATGAATCCCCAAATAATTCTCTTCAATTAAAAAATGATATCACTAAATTTAAAAAATTAGTAGAGAATTTTATTAAAGTCAAAGGAAGACACGTACAAATCAAAGAGCAAGCAGCAAATGATTTATTATTAAAATATAAGTTTAGAAAAAATAACGATACTTTTAAGGATGTTTTAGGATTCATCCTTCAAAATATAATAATTGATAAAGTACTTTCTGCGATGCAAAATTTAGTATACAAAGATGAAAACGGAAAATTCAATTGTTTAGAATCAGCAATTATGAGTTGTACTGATTTTATGATTAAGAGTACCACTGAACTATCTCAACTGAGGAATGGTGATGATCATGTTACCAAGATGACTCCTATCAAAATTCGACAACAAATATATGAAGCACTTGCATTGCGTGGATTCAACAACTCTAATGATAAATTTATTAATTCAATCAGAGATGATATTGTAAATGAAATGAACAAATATCGTGAAATTATAGATGAAGACAGAAAAAAGAATATCTATAAGAATGCTGATGAACTGGTCCGTACTGGTATTAAACTGTGGTTTCGTTTGAAAATTCAGGAGCCTGTAGTAAATATTGAATGGTATAAACCGGGGGATGCTGTCGATACCAATTTCATGGAAGGAACATGGGAGACTGACAATACAAATAATTTTGGAGTAGAATTGTGTTATTTTCCTTGTATATTATCAAAAGGAAAAGAAACTGAAATTTATTACAAATCTCAAGTTACAATTCGAAAAAAATCCAAATCGTGGTGGCAAACCTAGCAACATGATATAGAATGTTTCTTTTAATTAATAAATTAGTTTATTAATTAGTTTTATTTAATTTTTATAATCAATTAAATTCATTAGCAAAAATAAAAATCAGATTTTACTATTCTTTAAATGATCAAATTCGCCAGTTTGTTAAGAAATTCCTTGTTATTTACTCGCATACAATTTTGCCACTACGAAATTATATTTTAACATTAATATCATGTGATTATAATTGTTCTGTTTTATTTTTACTTGTTAAAGTGAGGACTTTAATGCATTATTAAATATTTACAAATTTTTACATGTAATTCTACCCCAATTAACCTATTGTTAATTTAAAGCTAACCTTCCACCTTTAATCAAAATAAGTAAATAAACATATTTAAATAAAAAAGATAGCATGTTAAAGGCAATATTTTTCTAAAAAATATGAAATTCCTCTTCCCGTTTGTCAGAATGTATAGCATCCTGGGAAATGGATAAAGTGGCTTGAGAATGTTTTGTTGTATGATACCCCAATTGAATATTCCTATTCAATGATTTCCTCCTCGCACCTAGGCTTCCAAACTTTTCAAAGGAAAATTTCTGGACTATATTTAACAATTCAGAGCCGCTTTCCCTCCCTTTAGATTTTGAGTTTTTGATACATCTAAAATTATACATTACGCTTCTTCCCTTGTGTTAATTTTTCATCATTTTTATACATATAATTCATTCTCTTGATAAGTTAGATTTGCCCAAATAATTTTTTAATATTTAATTGCTTGTCCGTGAATGAATCAGCGAGACCCCAAATCTGTATTTCCAACATAGAAAAGTTTATATCCATCACACAAACTATGTTGACTTTTTAGATAAAATTATAATTTATACATAAATTAGGGCTGAAAGAGTAGAGAGGTTAAAATCCTAATTCAGTAATAATTGTCTTGACTAAACTTGACTTAATATATGGCCAAATAGTTTGGTTAGTTTAGCCAAGTGCTCACTCGAGTTACGTGGCCAGCCTACATGAAAGTAATATCATCCTGTGAAAAGAATAATACAATTTTTGAATAAAAGTTGACAATTTGCTCCGAAATTTATAAAAAATCCAGATCTTTTGCTGATTCTTGATCAATTAAAAGCTTGATAAGTTGGTCAATCTATATAAGCATGATATCCCTAATAAAATAAATAAATAAGTATGATAATATATATAATCGAAGTATTTAAGGATTTATAACAGAAAATATAAATAATTTTTCATTAGGTTGAACTATTTTCTTTACTAAATGATTAATGTTAATTGAATTGGTAGTGGTTACTACATTTGGATATTTTTTTCTTTAAGTCCCAAGGTTGAGACCAAGACATAGCGAGTATTTATAGAGGGCGCAGTTATAGATGTCGCAGTTGTAGAGGTCTGGCTGTAGTTTCTAAAATTAACTGAAGTTGAAAAAATTTAATGGGATAAAAATACTATATTTTAATGGAGACTAATTCATCGCTTTTAGATAGTCAGTAATTGTTTTACAATAAGGCATACATATTTATCTGATATTTTGGAAATGTAATTTAACAGGTTTGTTCTGACATATGCTTTCTTCTTCCCCTAAGTTCTCGTGACAACACATGCTATGACTCGTCATATTGTAAAACTGTGATATTTCTTGGAGCTACGAATCGTGTATTATTTAGACTACAAAAAAAAAATATCTTTATTAAATATCAGTAATGTTTGTTACATATACTGTGTTATATTACTAATAATGTGTGCATAATAATAAGCAAAACCTGGAAATTCAAAACCGCTTAAATGGTCAATTCGTTTACGTGCCATTAATGTTAAATCCTATTTTGGCCTATCAAGCATTTAAAAAAAAACCATTATAATAATAATAATAATAATAATAATAATAATAATAATAATAAATGGTCAATTCACAAATTGGTATAGATCCTCCAAAATCACACAAACTAAACAACTATTACAACCTCTATTCCAATCTAATTTCAACCATACTTCACCTGTAATACTTGCAGCTGGATTAATTCCATCATCTCTAATTAATTCCATATATCCAATATTTACTTCCCACAAAAAAACTTCAATCATCATTCACATCATCTCCTACAATCTAATAACTTTCTATTATAAAAATGTCTGGCTTCCACGATGTGCTTTGTTTAACTCATGGTTAAAACAAAATAATATCAACTTGAAA